AGATTAAAGGGGTGGTATTCTCCAGTCCTAGTAACAAGGCTCCTGCCCTAGATGGATATACATCAAAATTTTACAAAGCTTCTTGGCCTGTTATTGGATATTTAGTTCTCAAGGCAATTAAGGAACTCTTTTCATCAGGCAAACTATTAAAAGCAGTAAATTCTACTAGCCTTTCTCTAGTGTCAAAGGTGTCTAGCCCTTCAAGAATGACTAAATTTAAGCCCATTACATGCTGCAATCTACTATACAAATTCATTACCAAAATATTGGCCAATAGGTTCAAGACATGCTTACCTCTTTTCATTAGTAAAAACCAATGTGCTTTTGTAGAGGGCAAACTAATGGTAGAAAATGTTCCGCTTGCACACGAGCTTATGAGGCATTATCACAAGGACACATTAAGCCCTAGATGTGCACTAAAAATTGACTTGATGAAAGCTTTTGATTCTATCTCATGGGACTTTCTTATCAAGTTTTTACTCTCTTGGGGCTTTCCACCGCAGTTTGTGAATTTGATTAAAGTCTGTGTAACTACTCTCATGTTCTAAATTTCTTTCAATGGGAATTTATGTGGCTATTTCTCTAGACAAAAAGGTATCAGACAAGGTGATCTCCTCTCACCTTTTCCCTTTTGTTGTTTGCATGGAAGTGCTATCTAAGTTGATCGACAAAGTTGTTGTATAAGGGAGAATTTCTTACCACCCCAAATGTGAAAAGGTTCTACTCACACATCTAGGTTTTGCTGATGATCTAGTGATTTTCACTAATGGCAGCTTATCTTCTATTCAAGCTATTGACAATGTTTTAGAACTTTTTTACAAGATCTCTGGTCTACGAGTTAACTATAAGAAATCAGAGATTTTTTGCTGCGAATTACCTACAATTGACATGCAACAACTTGTTACCAAATTTGGTTTTAAACTTGGTGTCTTACCAGTGAGATACCTTGGGGTGCCCTTAATTACTGGGAAATTGACATAGAAGGATTTGTAGCCTTTAATTGCCAAAATCACTGATAGGATGTCCTCTTGGTCAACAAAGCATCTTTCTTTTGCAGGTAAATTATAGCTAATTTCCTCAGAAATATAGGGAATTACCAACTTTTGGTGTTCTACTTTTATTCTACCCAAGAAAGTCATCAAGGAGATTGAGCTAAAGTGTAATGCTTTCTTGCAGAACAACTTTACAACTAATGCTAAGGGTGCAAAGGTTAGTGGGTTGCTATTTGCTTCCCAAAATAGGAAGGTGGTTTAGGCTTAAAAAATCTAATGCACTAGAACAAAGCCTGCATATTGCGATTTATTTGGCTTCTATTCTCTAAAGCGTGTTCTATTTGGGTTACATGGGTCCATGAATATTTGCTAAAAGGCAAGAGCTTTTGGTCCATAAAAGTTCCATCTGATACAACCCGGGGTTGCAG